CTCTGGTGTGGCTATGGTTTCTAGCATACTGCTAAATACTAGCAGTCGTTTTCAAAATTATTTTCTCTCTCTATTTGCGAGTAGGTCTGTATATGACCAATTCTGTATTTTTCATATTTAAGCCAGCTATTTCTTGATGTAGGAAGTCGAAAAGCATGCTCACTTTCAATTGCTTATTTGTTCAATTTAATGATTATTGAGGAATGATCAGAAGACAGTACAGCACAGGTTTCAGCAAACAATAAACTCCTGTATACGTTTTTAGTGACTGCAAAGTCCAACAGGTCAGATGATTTGCTTGAGTGCGTAGGCCAGTAAGCTGGTTGTTTTGAGAAAATAAAATCGTATCTATTTTTGGTACTTATGTTAGTATTATATAACTGTCGAGCTTTCGGGTGAATTAGCCTCGATTCCCAATGAGTATGCTTAGCATTTTAATCACCTCCAGCTAGAATCCTATCGCCTAGAGTCAGGAAAGCCGCTAGGCTGTTTTTCTGTTGTTATACGTGGCGGACAGTCAATATAAGGCCAACGCCCGTATCTTTTAAGGGTGACCGAAGTTGACCATAACCAATTTGTTGAGAAGGAATAAAGAAAGCTGAGGTTTAAACTGTTCCTTATGAACTTCTGTTTGCCACCATGTTCTTTGCCGTCTGGATTATTTGTGTTGTACAGCTTAAGCCCAGGGATATAAAAATTATTCTTCTGGGTGAGAAGTGTTTAAGATATAATTATAACATCTATTTATGCTGGTTTACACCATTAGCCTTCCATAAGCAAATCCTGAGCTCACTCATTTTTGGGTCAACAAGGTTTGGAGTATTTAGTTTCGTGCCTTTATTAGGTCTTGAACCAGACTTTACATGATTGACATGTCATGCACTGGGTTAGATTAAGAATCATGGCTTCAACTCAAGTACTGGAAGAGTGACTGGTGGAGCCTGCTTATCGGCTTGTCCTACATTGGCATAGCTCATTTGACCAATATTTGTGGGTAGGTTAAAAGAGCTCGGAATGGAAGTAGTATATGGGAGTTGGTTCCGTTCCGCTTGTATACCCCGAGCAAATTAGGCTTTTAAATCTTTGTAAACCGGATAACCTCAATAATTAGCTCGGAATGGAAGTAGTATATGGAACTTGGTTCCGTTCCGCTTGTATACCCCGAACAAATTTAGCTTTTAAATCTTTGCAAACCGGACAACCTCAATAATTAGCTCGGAATGGAAGTAGTATATGGGAGTTGGATCCGTTCCGCTTGTATACCCCGAGCAAATTTAGCTTTTAAATCTTTGTAAACCGGACAACCTCAATAATTAGCAGTGTATTTGCCACCGCAGTTGCTACACAGTTTTATGTTGCATCCGTTTCATTCGAGGGGCACTTGGTAGAATGGTAAAGATTATCACATGTTACGCAGACGATACGTAAAGTACAATAGTATGTTATGTGGTCAAATTCCTGCCAATTTGTGCATTGCACGGGATCATTACGCTTGAGCGCTGCTTCTATGGAGATTCTTTGGTGTAAAAGGTATTTTAAACCGTAAATTAAATGCGTTTCTTTCTTCTTGAGTTGAGCTGATCTTGGCGCTGAGAACACTTTAAACACAAGCTGTTGGTACTGCTGCGCTGCTCGTCTGCATAGCTGTTCATTTTTTTGCTGTTTCTGGAGATGCAGTGAAAGAGATGTTGCACTCTCTTTATTCTTTGTTGCTGCTGAAGAGCAGGTCTGCGTGCAGGTCTTAGAGATGAACTGCTTGTCTTTGAATTGCTGTCGGGTGGTGAGTTTTTCGCAACAACAGTGAACTATGCATTTCTCTCCGAAGGCCGTCGCTCTTTAAGATTTGAGGGTTAAATGCCGGTTCACTTTTCACTTTAATTTTTGATTCTAGTTTTCTGGTGATTGTTTATGTTTACAAATGATTTTTTATGAATTGCGTTTTTATGTTGTTTATTGCCAACTTAAATATCTATACGTCCGCTACACAGATGAAAAAATTTCAATGATTGAATACTTTTTTTTAACCACAAGTGCAGCTACGGAGCCGATCAAAAAAACAAGTCCGTACACAAAAGTGGTACAATATGCAATTGAAATTCAATGTGGACTTTCGGAAAACTTATAAAACAAAAAAAAAAAACCAAGAGCATAACATTAAAACGATAAGAGAAAGGGGTATTTATGCAGTGAAAACAAAATTCAAGAGAGTAGCCTAGACATAAATAAAAGCTTAAGAAATAACAAACCAAAAAAAGAAAATATTTACCAATATACAATACAAAAAATTGCGCAAAAACAATAACAACAAATTCAACAACATCTTCGAAAATGCACATTTTATATAGTAAAACAAAAAGAAAAAGATAATTACAACAAAGATCTCTATATGTATGCATATTGCTGATCGCTGTTGAAAAAAGGAACAGGAATTTGCAGCAAGAGGTTGTCACAACATCAACAACAAAACCAAAACGTCCATACTACATCACCCAGATGCAGGATTTGAGAAACATCGCTGGCGTCAAATACAGATTTAAAGGAACTTCAGCGTTGGGAGCAAACAAAAGGGCAATAAGAATGTTTTAAGCAATTACATTCATACTTATTGATTCCAAGAGCAGCATACATTCAAATCTGCAAGCATGCATCTATATATATGCCAAAGCTGAAAAGTAAAAAATCTTCCTGCGATATTTTGGTACTTTCAAACTCTTTGTATATGTACGTATATATGCGAGGAAAAACTTTGTTTGCTCAACAAAAGAAAAAAATCTACAAAACATACTTGCTTATCCAATAGAAAAAAGTTGTTACAACGCGATCTTGAAGACTGTTGAGCTCAATTTCGAGTTTAAGTATTTCCAAATTAGGCATATGTACAGACATACTCGTACATACATATCCAAGAGAACTAATTTATAAGTGTTTGGAAGTTCAAATATTGAAACATTTGTACTAGAAAGCTATTATTCCCAGAAAATAGTGCATCCACTCTCGCGATAATCCTTCTTTTAATAACATATGTACAAATAACCAATTTTGGCAACAATCTCTTTCTTTTTGTATTTAAAGAGTAGCATAAAAGCACATGTTTCCTCATGTACTCTGTTCTTTTATATTCCTTTGTACTTCCTCAAGTGCAACTTCAGCATAACAGCGAACACTTAGCCGCTCACATACTGCAGGCGCTTAGTGCATTAAAATATCTATCTCTCAGTTCAGCTGAAGCATAACATTGCCAGTATACGCACAAATATACACACATACAAACAGATTCCTAACTCAACAGTAAACACTTCTGGTTCACTTTATAATCACATGTATCCCTAGTTCCATGAGGTTAAGTGCTAACTTGTTTAAAAACAAGAAATTTTAATTGACAATATTCAAACAAATTTAAAATTGTATAATGCTGAAAAATCAAAGCCCTCGGCCAAGAATCACCTCCAAGACATCCTCAAAGAAATCTCTTAATCAGTTTAATGCTGCTTCTCCCCATGTAGTAGCTGACACAACAAATCATGGCTTAATAAGATATTTTGCCAAATTTAACTTTCGCACCAAAGAGGAATTTTTAGAAAATCTACTGAAAATTAAAGATAACTCTCTTGACGGTTTGTATAAACAAGTTCAAGACGCATTCGATGTCTTATTCCAAATAGACGAAGAAGACCTCTCCGCGAATTTTCTTGAGCTGGCGGGAGAAAAACGGCAATTTAGCAGTGATACCTATGAAATAACTAAAGCAAGAAATGCTGAACAATTAAAGTTAATAAAGCAGTAAATAAACCAAAGTCAGTTCTCAATCGGAACCCAGACCCAAAATAGTTGAACAACCTTAAGCAAATCTCCAATTTCCGCCAAGTTTGACACTCAAACATTTTATCGTGGATACGATGAGTGGCCGTCTTTTCGAGATGTGCCGTATAAATGTATAAACCACCCCCTACAGCCAAATGTGTATGTGTATGTAGGAGATATAGTTAAACAATTCGTTTTAACTAACGACAATTTCCAATTGGCTAGGAATTCTCACCATACCCAATATGAAAACAAGCGCAAATTAGTCGAAAATCAGGTCACATCATTATTGAACTTACCTAAAGTTGGAAAAGAAACTAGCGAAGAGTTTATTGAGTTGTTTTAAGCAATCAAAAAATCTTTATTAGTGCTCGAAACTCTCGGCACACTCACTGATAGCTTTGACTCAATTCTGGCGAGTATATGCTCATTCGCATTACCAAAAATATCTCTAATGGGAACAATATCTCGCATCCCGAAAGTAATTCCCAACATGGTATCAAATGAAAGAATTCCGATACAGGCAATTCGATATCAAAGAATGCAATGAACACAAACTCTCGAATTCTGCTACTTCGCACAACAAAACTAAACCTATTCTCCACGCAATAGCAACCAATCGTGCAAATTGTTCAAAAGAGAACACACCCTCACGCATTGCAAGTAATTCAAGAAACGACAACTGATACCCAACAGAATAAATTCATACAAAATATCCAAATTTGTACAAATTGTCTGGCGTTGCACCATACCCTCAAACGGTGTACATCACGACATACATACTTACATTGCATAACACTCTTTTGCACATAAGCCCAACTCATGGGTTTGACCGAATACAAGCACACTTGACCACCGCTAGTCAAGACACACAGAGAAATGCGATTTTGGCCTTTACGAGTCGAAATACTCAGAAAATTGTGATTGTGATTATTACTCCAGATCGCAATTCCCAATCAATTAGCAGGATGAATCGCACTGCTCAAATCACGATAAGATCTGCTCACCGCATACTCTAATCACCCCTAGATCAGATGTTTCACAAGGACGCATTACAAATAAGTTCTACAAGTCCAGTAGAACAGGCTCCTATCGACAGCATGACACACATTCATGTCTGCATGATCAAAATTTTAATAAACCGAGAATTAAGAACAAGCAATTTTAGCTTTAGTATACTTCCCAACTTTTCTTTCCAGGAAATGGACAACCAAATCGGATCACGGATCCCAATCCAAAGAGAACCTGCCGAAGCCCAAAAGATGAACGCAACAACAGCAGAAATAGCGCAAAAAACCACCGGGCCAATACTTTACCCGGCTCCCACACACCTAGCAAGCTTAAGTCAGCAAAGGGCTTGCCAAACAAACAAGAGAGATTTCTATTAATATAAAGTTTGTTTGTTTTAAAATTTAATAGTTTAAATTACAATAGTTTAGATAGTGGTTTTAGATTCGATTTTAGTATATAGCTGGTGATTACGACCTAATTGTTCATGTTACATTGTGTTCTAATTAAAGTTCTGAAAAATCAAACAGCCAACCTTTTAGCTTTTGCTAATTTTTACTGTAAGGAGTAGGTATTGTTTGCATTCATCAACAATCGTAGTTCTAAAAGCTGTTTAAAGAAATTTGTCGAATGAAATCTATATGCTAATTTTCCCAATTCTGCGTTAAGTCCACATCTACTAAATAACGATTTCTCAAGACCAAACCAAGAAAAACGTTTCTTTTTCTCCAAGAAAACAAAATAAACCAATTAATTGTGTTTTTTTATGGTTTAATTTTTGTCAATACGTAGTCAGTTAAGTTATTTAATTTGATATGATTTTTCCAATGTTTCAAATACTTTGGTTAATGCTTACTTAAAAGAAATCAATAGTTTTTCAATCAATTAACCTATTTAACTTTTGTGGGAATAAAAGCTTAAATATTTTTCTTTAAAAGTGGACACTTATTTTACATTAGCAAAAACAATTTATTATTTCAAATCGAAGGAATTAACTTTTTCATATTTGTAGGTCATTACATTTTCTAGTTATTATTGGTATTGAATTGGAATCAAGAGAAGCTATATTTCTGAAAATATCAACATTTGCTATATATTGAGCAGACGCGGTCCAATCGTCATCATAATCCATTTTCCAAACATGCTAGAGGAATTATACTGATGGTCTATATGAAAGACTTTATATGGCTTTGAAAATGCTCTGGCGTCTGCTACAATCCGAACGAAATCGGCAGGAACATATATTTCCTTGGACGTTTTTTCCTTCCTATTAGGATGACCAACAGTTAATTATTTTTGATAAATAGTGGTACTGTGTTTTATTGCCATTAATTGGAATGCTTTGGCTAACGTAACGTTTCGGTTTTGCACACTATAACCATCGTTAAATCAAACTGTTGGAATGCTTAGATCAAAATGGTGTTTTAAAACATCATAAACACAGGAAAAGAAGACATTTGATTACATTCCTCCTTCTCCTATGTGTCAAAGGTAGCAAAAAACTTCGGAAGTTTTTAAATTAAAAAATGTAAATTGGTGGACGCCAAGCTTTTGCTTAATATATGGTGATGATGCAGTTAATAGGGGCACTAATTTAACGGCTTGTAAATCTAAAAGATACGCTTTTATTTCATTCTTAAAGACCCTATGAGATGTAGCCGATGCCAACAATTGAAAGACATAATCTCCAAAAAATAAAGGCCAAAGAATGTTCTTTCGTTTAAATAATAAACACTCCATATTATATATGAATTTTCTATGTTTTTTTCCTTAAAAAAGAAGGGAACCTCGAAATGGATCATTTAGATAATGCAGTGCATTTTTCTTGGCCGTAATGTATTACAATTTTGCATGTGTTCCAGTTCCAAATACGGGCAATCAACGTAGTCGAATTCCAATTTTATAAGTATCAAGCCTGAAACGTGTTGTGCTTCTATTTGCATTTTTCACAAAAGTATTAGCATTATATCATTAAAATGAGGATTGTTCTTTGGCTAATGGAAACTGGAGGATAATTTACCAATGTATTAAATATATTTTACCCTTACCTTGTCACCTCCACTTTTACTATATGCATTATGTATGTGCGCATACACATACGTACATACATATGTATACCTACAGTGGCTGTTGGTCAAGCGCCTACCAACAACCACACACGCCAAAACCAACTACCGCACAAAAGGAGATGAAAAAAACTAACAAAGCGACCGGCCAGCTTATTGAAAAAGGCATGGGTCGCTAGCTACGCTCAACAACAAAACTACTTGCAAGGAAAAACAAGACTTTCTAACGCGATAAACAAAAATTGCAGGACAACAATAGTTCGACTACAGATCAAAACGGTGTGTATAAACACGAAATGAGCAAAATATGTTTTTGGGGTAAACCCGAGGTGTGTCCAACCGAACTGGTTACGAACCCACTCGCACTACTCCCTTGCTGTCGGGCGTAACTTTAACACGCCCGTATAACTGGGCTCTGGGTGCGGGATGCTACTGGCGGAACTGTTATTTATTTATTTATTTATTTATTTTTCTTATTTTTTATTATCACAAAAAAAGACCACTCGCACGCAAGCATAAAAAAGAATGTCCACTCTTCTGTAGATTGCAAGAATCTGATCCGGCACGCACTTTCGAGCCAGGCCGCAAGCTACGCCGGCCTTCTAAATTCTCCTGCGAGTGTGTATTGGTGCCCAATCATTTGGCGCCGCCCCCATTACCCAAAGGGGCCGGGTTGTATAACGCACGCCACCATGGCACACCAAGTACACTGGGATAATTTTTCCCCCCGCCCCTTTTTACGGAACTCCCACGCAAAGCATTCCGCTGCCCTAATACTTATTAGTGGAGGAACCGCTTTTGAGAAACACCTCCTTTTGGAGACTTATACCACTGAGTAGGCACAAACTGAAAGCAACCGTGCCATCAATCCATGGCTTCAAATAATGCAACTATTTGCCGACAGATGTCATTGCCAACGTTTGGAGTGAAAGGAAAGAAAAACAAAAAGAAGTTTTTGTTGCGGCCAGTACGCGACAACCTCTTATATGAGATCTGCTGTAGTAATAAATAGTCGGATGGATCAAACGTATTCCATGAAGGTATATACGAATTGTCTTCTTACGTGTTATTGAATTAATGGAGAAGTGGCTTGGGTAGCTCTTTCACCTATTAATATTAAAGTAAGATCCCAACTACTGGTGTCCAAACTATGATTGTTTTTATTCTAGTTAGACATTTTTCAATCGTTCTCTGGAGATTTTTGATTACACTTCCGCTTTTTTGGGTTGTTTCTTTACTATATCATTCTCATATTGCGAAAGAGAACCTTCCGGATCTGCCTACCATTACAATTTTTCAATCGGCAGTGCTTTTTCTCGGGCTTGCTGTAATACGTGGAATACTTTTTTCACAATGCTGGTCCTCGGATCGTCGATATGTTTAACCGTAAACATGTAGATGAATATATGATCCTGTGTCTATCATTTGTATGCATCTGAAGTATGATTTTTTACTAGTTGGTCTTGAGATTATCAAATCATATTTTTAAGATTTGCAAGGTGGTATCGAAAAAATTCTGTATTTAATACACCTGATTGAATGTGCACTGACAATAAATATATTTTTGCTAGGTAAACATCCATTAAATTTCAGTTCAACTTTCAGCAAGCAAAATCAAACACAAACTCTCGAAAAAGAAAAAAACTAAATAGAAAAAGTTCGATCGCATTTTAGTTGTTTAAATTTAAGTCGTCTTTAGAGCAAGTAAGAATTATGAATAACTCGTCGTATTATTAAAAGTTGTTAATTATCATTTTCGAAAGATATAATATTTGAAAAAATGAAAACGATTAATAACACTAAGTTTTTGTATAAAAACTCGAAAGAAAACACACGAGAACAGTTTCCTTACTCGACTGGGACATCGTTAATTTTCGTTAACGGATGTACGTAAGTCTGGCAAGGTGATTATAGGGTATATAGTGTCGTACTATCAACCGCAGAAGTATAAAGAATTAAATCCCTCAGCAGGGAATGTCAACCCCTCCGAATGTATTTCCGACATGAGAAGCTTTACCACAAAAACCCATGAGCCGTTCGGAGGCGGCTTAGCATAAATTGTAGGTCCCCACATTTGTTGGGAAAACACCAAGACGCACAAGCACAAATTGGAGGAAGAGTTCGTCTTCAGTGGTTACAAAGCGCCAAATACATATATATAATTAAAAATGTATATATGTAGTTATAAAGGTATGTACGTAATTGTTACCTGCGCTGTACGTAGAGCATTTGGAACTTTAACCCTTCTAAGGCTACTGCGGTGTGCACTTTACTCTAAGAATGCATACACTCACAAGCCTTACAAAATTTACTGTGTACATTAGCAGACTCAGAGAAAAAGGTAACAAAAAAATTTACAGACAAGAAAAAATGGAATTAAAGTCACGTAAAATAGAAATTGAAAAAAGTTTCTACTTTGCTTATTTTAAACAGTTAAAGTTAACTCTGTTAACTGTCTCTTAGCTCTCTCTATTTGCTAGAAATATATATAAGAATACAAACTTAGTGGCTCATATCTAATTGGCTATTATGGCATTGTGGATTGTATACCTGTACACTTTAGTTAATTTAATTATATTTTATTGTAATAAAACACCGGTAAACTATTCACTACTCATATTCTCTACATCTTCTTTTTTATATTAAATATTATATTTTCTTAAAACACTAAATTTCTCCTCTTTTCCTCGTAAAATACATTGTTTCTGTTCTATTTTAAACCACGACTACTTTCATAATTAGGACTAATATTACATCCTCTTTTGAAATTATGTAAGTTATTGAAAACTTATGTTTAATTTCTTCGATTAGACTTGCTAACTTCTTGTAATTTCTTTTTATACCAAGGACACTTATGTATTCTGCGTATATATATATATATATATCTTCGTCCTGCAGCCACCGCTCTATTTCGCCTGCTAAGTTTGCGTAGTCACCCATATCGCCGACTTTCTGTACCTCGCCGCCTGCTGTATTGCTTGTTGCCTCTGCATTATCTTCTCCTGCATCACATGTGCAGAGCTTTGCTGTTGTTGCGGTTCATTGTTCGTCGCTATCGTGTTGTTGTATATGCGCAAGCACATATCGATTCAGTTTGTATAGTCGATGAACCCTCTGCCGCGCACTTCAACGTCTTCCTCGGATATTACGAACTTCCCGCATCGCTCTCGTACGAAATTGTGATTGGTGTAGATGCGCGTACCAGGCACTCTTCGTCGTCGCTACCTCTGCTACGTACATTTTTCTCGTTCGTACGAATATTATTATTGACGCAGACTCACTGCTACACGTACTTATTGCTCTGCTCGTTGTGTTTGTTTCGCGTCGGGTAGGGAAGTAGGTATCTCCTCTTCTCTCAGCCTGTGGACTAGTTCGCGCGGTCACACATTTCCTGCTACCATCTCTGCTGCGTGCCTTCGTAACTTCGCTTATTACTCGCATACGCTTATACCACGTTTATT